CCGGTGCGACGTCGCGACGTCGAGAAAGGGAGGCGCGCGCGCGCGCTATCGAATAACAAACAAAGAGAGAAGGGGATGTAACACGTCGAAGCGTGCGACGTTCGTACGTTTCGTTCTGGAATACCAATGAATTTTGAAGTATTCGACGCGTGACCCGAATTCTGTTCCTTCGCCACCTCCTTCTTTTCCTTTTTCTCACTTTTCCATTTACGCCTCGATTTACGTCTCGCGGTTCGTCGAATCTATCAAAACGCCCAAGATCCAACGTAACAACAGAATAAACTGACATTATCGCCCGCGAAATGGTAGGATCGCGGAAGGAAGAGCAATAAAGAGGGATCAAGACTAGGAGACCGAGACCGAGACCGAGAACGTGGTAAAGAAGTGGGAGACCGAGGGAACACGGTTGTGTCCGCTTTTCCATCCGTTCGTGCACGGGGGCCAAAAGCGGCGGAGGGCCGCTCAGTTTGCCTTCAGTCATACCAAAGAACGCGCCGGATCCCATAGTAGCGTTCGCGTATCCGTGCAAGATAGTCGATAATCTCGCGATTACCTTCTTTTTTCACAGGAGGGGAAACAGATTCTAAACGACAAACGGACAACGATGGAAGGCAACGTTGCCGGTGGAACGATCGTTCTTCTGTTGATCGCGATCAGTCTTTCGGTGAGTTTCGCATTTCTTATACGTTTCTTTTCGACGTTTTTTTGCTCTGACCTTCGCTTTACCACCGCTCGTAAATCGCTCGTAAAAGTCGAAACGATCTCTAGGATAATTGCCAAAAAGATGGAAGATTTCGTAGGGAAAGTATAGAATCGCGATCAACAGCTGACTAACGGTGCACGTTATACTGCTACTACGAATATCGCACTCATCTCGTTCGTCATCGCGTTTCTATTTTTCCCCCCCAAACCGCTATTCTTTCTCCTCCCTCCGCTCGTCCGGTCTATTCCTTCCGCGTTTCCACCTTTACCGTGACCTGCTGCTGCTGCCACCGCGTTTCTCGAGCGCTTATTGTTCGAGGTTGATGAGAGTTGAAAAAAGCGATCGAGGTGACGAGGCAGGAAACAGCGGTAGAGCGAGCGAGCAAGCGAGAGAGAGAGAGAAAGAGAGAGAATAGGAAAGTAGGAAAACGTGGGTAAAACGAGCCAGTTCTCTCATTGTACGAGGAAAACGAAACCATACAAAGATTCTCATATTCTATTTCAGGAGATTTCGGCCTTGGCAACTAGCGTTCCAAGTTACAAGCTGAACGATCGATGCACCAAAGACGCGGAGTGCGAATCGAGCATCGAGGGTAGTCAATGCCACTTTGGTCGTTGTCGCTGTTTGCCCTACTTTGCCGCGTACAACGGAACCTACTGTCTCGAGGGTGAGAATTAATCGTCGCTTTACCGGTTCATGATGATTTTTTAATCGCGAGACAACGAGAAATAACGAGCATTCGTTTCGTCTCTCTCTTCACCATTCCACAGCGACCCTTCTCGGCCAGGAGTGTTTGGTCGACGAACAATGCACGTTGAAAGTGGCCAACAGCAATTGCTCGGACGGATTGTGCGGCTGCAAACACGGTTTCCTTCAATTTCGTCGACACACGTGTCTCGGTCGTAAGTTTACTTCTTTCAGTGATAGATTACTTCCATAATTTATCGTTCGTAATAATAATCGAAAATAATTGTAAAAATAATAAAACTTAAAGTAAGTTTACTATATATATATATATATATCCTATAATCGATCGAAGATAGATCTCGAGGAAAATAAAAAATAATATTTCAGCGGCGAAACTCGGCCAAGTTTGCTACGAGCATGCCCACTGTCGATTATGGGAGGCGAATTCGCACTGCGATTTCCTGATCCCGAACTTGTTCGGTCGTTGCCAGTGNGCCTACCCGCCGGGAGGCCGACGTTTGTCGGCCGGACGATCTGGTCAGACCTCCGCCATTGTTCGACGATTCCTTACCGATCATTACCGATCGAGTAATCCCTACGGGAGAAGAGGAGGAGGAAACGGGTAAACTAATCGAATCGTCGATACAATAGTTAAAATTACCAAAAAATACCTTCCTCCTTTCCCTTTTTCTTTTTCAAGGAGTTGAAATCGCCTGGCTGAAGAGGAACGAAACTCGATCGACATCGGCCACCTTCTTACCGACGGATTCGATCGACTCGAACGAAGACGACGCGATCGTCGTCGAGGCTGCCAACGAGACCGGGGTTACCAACGGTGCATGGTTGTTGTCAGGTAAACAGAGAGAGAGAGAGAGAGAGAGAAAAAAGAGAAAACGGAGAGTATCGATCGAAAATTATTTTTCGTAGCGTCGTCGTCGCCGTTCAAGACGGATCGAGAAGTGGACGCGGCGAGCACCGAGCCGTCGTTCTCACCGGTCACCTTGGGCCACGATTGCGTCTCCGATTTCGAGTGTCGATCGGCCGATCCCCATTCCAGATGCATCGATCGAGTATGCGAGTGCGAATATCGAGGGAACGGGAGTAGCTGCACATCGAGGAAGACGGGATGCGCGGCTGGCACGTTCCAATGCAAAAGCTCGGGGATCTGTATCAGCTGGTTCTTCGTCTGTGACGGGAGATCGGATTGCGAGGACGGCTCGGACGAGCGTTGCTCGATCTCGGGGAAAGGATCGAGGTGTCCCGCACAAGCGTTCAGATGCGCTCGAAGCGACGTTTGCGTGTCGAGGG